CGCCCGCACCTTGCTCAGCCAGTGAGCGGGAACCGGTCTCCACATGGGATCCGAACCCTCGATGGGAGAGCTGCTGCGCTCCCAGGCGGCACACTCTCCAGTGCGCCACCGGGCTGGCCCCTATTATTATTGTTTTTATACCTCACCTAATACACACCTTGTCCGGGGAATTCATCCCTGCCAAATATGAATAACTTATAGCCGCACTGCTGCTCCAGCACCTCGGGCAGGATCTTCAACACCAGCGTGTCCACGTCGTGACTCTGGCTTTCACTTTGAGGCTTTGGGTACAAGACGTATGCATCATACAGCTTCCCATCTGAAAAGGAAGTGGGACAAGCTCAAGGAGTCATTCCCACCAAATTCATGTGAGCAAGGTGAGAACCCGAGGTGCTGCCATGATGTGCTTTTGGCTTGGGTTCAGTGACTTCAGAGTGCTCTGCTGGCTGGTGCCAGGCACTGCCACGCTATGACATGTCACTCTCACAAATCATCCTGCAAGGTTTCATCCCCACTACACAAGAATGGAGGTGAGACTGGGAAGGCTGCGCCATTTCCACCATTCCTAATTCCATCCCAAGTCTCGATTCTAAGCCCACTGCTCCCTGTGATGTGGTTGATAATGAGAATTAAGAGCAGCAGACTCCACCCATGTTACCCTTGGTGGGGCCTGTGCACAGAGTTCTGCCCTAACCGTACCAGGCAAAACAGGCCTAATCCTTCCTAATTTAGACCCACCAGTGAATTCCATCACAGCAATTGTGCAGACTTGTGTCATAAAGAGAACGAGCATCTGAGCAGACCCTAGGGATCTGCCATGCCATTCTGAGAAGTCAAGCATGACAGCACGTCACCACTGTCACAATGAGCAGTATTTACTGAGCAAGCACTAAAAACAGTCTCTGTGCTCGCCAGTGCAAGGATGCACAAGACCCGGGATCTAACTGGGCAGACGTTCACATGCACAGAGCAAAAACAGCATAAGGCAGCACAAGACTGCAACGGCTAAGTGAACAGCAGAGACAGGAAGAAAGGGAACTCCCTACTGTCTGGAGTTCCGGAAAAAACTTCAAAACAGCATGGTCCAGGGATTTTAAAGGGTGAGGAGGGTTTAGAAGAAAGTGCGGGTCTGAGAGTGGAGGGTGAGCAGGCACAAAGAGGGCCTTCCCAGGGGTTCTGTGAACGAGACACTTCAGCAGGGCGAGAGGGCTTGCATGGGAGGACAGGGACTGTGGGCGTCACATTGGAAAATGTGATTTCAAGGTCCGGGCCGCTTGGAAAGTCACAGCCAACCTAATGGGGAACCCGAGAGGGGAGCTTTCTTTTCTATCCCTTTTCATGGGAGTTTGTTTGATGAATGGGCTTGGAGATGGGGTGCTTCTAAGATTAACAAGAGAAGGCAAAATCTTGCTTTCCTCTAGTTGTCTAAGTGACAATAGTTAACACATATACTGAACTTTACAGTTTACATGTTGCCTTTTCTCATTCCATCAGTTCTCACACCAACCTCTGCCAGCCTTCAGGTCTCTGCTCTTGGCCTTCCTGTGAAGAATGATAATGCACAAGCATATGCACGCACATGCATGCACACCTGTGCACACACGTGTACACATGCAGTCGTGTGCACACATGTGCCCCCACGTGCACAGTCCTACACACGCAGTCCTGCGTATGCGTGCACGCGTACATGGGACTGCACACACACACGCACACATATGCACTCTTTCTCTGCCTTCCCACCCTCTGTGATGACAGGAAGCCATGTGAGAGTGGGGACTTGGGCTCCCTGCTCTGCTCTCAGCCCCTGGAGCAGGAGCTGGCGCAGGAGCCGTCTCAGTCAGCCCTTGCCAAATGGCAGGAGCCATCTCAGTCAGCCCTTGCCAAATGTCTGCATGAAGCTTGATTTTACAGAGGCCCAAAAAGGTTATCACGATGCTGGGGACTGGTCAATTTCAGCTTTTCAATAAAGTGGAATCACAGGGCAGGTACTAAAGGAACGATTAAATCTGTGTCTAGAGTTGGCAAGAACCCAGCACAACGAAAACTTGTGGAATCTTGCAGGTCGCTGGTCTGGACCACCACTCAAACAAGTGGATATTTTTCTATATTAAATTTAAAGTCAGACATTTGACTTTCCAAAGCCATAGGATTATAGAATAGAAAAAAATTTTTTTAAAAGAAACATTTGGTAAAGTTCTTATGTTTCTGAACTGTTAGGGAATCAAATTGTTCCGTGGAAACGTTTGGTCGTATTTCTCCTTTTGCTTCTGATAAGGGTCTGCTCGTGCTGGTGCTCCATTCACCGCAGAGAGCAGCCTCCCCAGCAAAGTGGTACTTCCCGGCCTCGTAACTACAGTGAACATCCAGGTTCATCGCCACCTCTGTCCCAGGCCCTGCCACTGGTAACTCTTTTCTCTCAATCTGATTCTCTGTTTTCCCCATCGCCTCTGACTATGAAACAAACACACCACTTTTGCTAAGTTATTCTCTCTTTTGCTAGTGTCCCCTGTTCCCTGTCTGTGAGCAGGGTGTCTAGGACGCAGGCACTTGTGGACATCCAAACTCGGGAACAGAAGAGATCTGGGTAGCGAGAAAGCCTCGCACCTTTCAAAAACTCAAAATATAAAAACATCCCCAATTTTGGGGTCATCTTTTTTTTCCCTTTCTTTCTGACTAAGCATTTGAATAGAGATACGACTTGCTGACTGGTTCTCAAATGCAGAGGTTTCCATCACCTTCACATGGCCAGTGCATCATTTCCTGAAATGCAGCAAAAGAGCAGCGGGAGCTTTTGCCTTTCGCAGGCAACGGCAGCCGGCACTTCCCGGCTTTGCCTGTCACGATCACTTGTGAGGAGCACGGCTGCATCCCTGGAGTGTGATAAGGTACCCGAGGCCAGCAAGGCTGCAGGAGCTCTCTGAAGTCTCCCAGCTGGTAAATGCACAGCCTTGATCTCAGCCCAGGGCCAGGGTCCCTCTGGTGTGGCTAACATAGGAATTAGGAGCAGGAACGTCTCAGAGCTTGTCCCTCATGGGTCCTGTGCAACTGCGTCAGACCATATTTTCCAAAAACAGCTCCAGCAATGTTTCCAGTCCCACAGTTCTTTCAGAACCTTACCACACCCCCACAAAGAAGCGGAATCTATTTCTACTCCTTAAAATTTGGTCTCTGCAGATGCCCCGACAAATAGAATGTGGTGGAATTGACCTTGAAATTCAGATGTTAGGTTATAAAAGAAAAAAACAGGGCTTTTTCCTGGCTTTTGCTCCTGAAACACATGTTCTTGGAAGCCGGCCACTGTGCTGCAAGGAAGCCTGAAGCAGGCCACACAGAGAGGTCGCTTCAAGAGGCCCCTGTGGGGAGGGGCTGAGGCCACCAATGACAGCCACAATCAACTGCCGCTCCTCCCGCTGAGACCCCAGACATCCCGGAGCTGAGACAGGCCGTCCCCGCTGTGCCTGTCCACACTCCTGGCCCACAGACTCCATTAGCAGTGGTTGTTTTGTGCCACCGAGTTTTGAGGTAATATCCTTCCCAGCTGTAGCAACTAGAACAGCAACTGAGGAGATAACAATGAACAGCAACAAGTAACAATGGGCCGGACACCTCCCAACTGTCTTTCACCAAGAAGATTCCAGAAGTGCAGACCTACTAGCGAGCGTTCTGATGAAACTGGGCCCTGAGGCAGACGCTTGCACGGCGCGTCTCTGTAACGCTGAGGTGACAGCTACCCAGGACCTGGCCAAGTCCCTTCATTTTCTCAGGAGATGCAACCAACCCTGCCTTCAGTGTTTAAGCATGTGCATATGCCTTTGCTGGCTGTTGGCTTAAGATACAAAAGCTCATTTGAATAAATTAGTATTTATGAAAGACTACCTAAAGATTATTCAATTTCCTGCTTTCTCTCAATATGATATTGTTAAATTTTAGACCCGTCCAAACCAGACTGGTGGGAAAATCAGACAGATTCAATTTGGCCTTCCTGTAAATGTTTTACTGAATTGCGTAAGGTTTGGCTTTTAGCCTCAACATGCATAAGAGACACTAGAAGAAAAGCCACATTAAACATGTTATTACATTTGCCACAGGAATGTTGAGGCAGACAAGGTTTCTTACATCATCCTGTTTTAAAAGAACTCCCTACAAAAAATCTCCCTTGAAACTAGTCCCGGAAAAGCCATGTTCTCTCATGAGCAACTGAAAAGTTTCTGTGAACAGCACACAATGGATCTTGTAATCGCCTTTCTTTTAGTTTTGAAAGCAAATTCACCTCTAAAAACCATCCAAGATTTGTCGTTAACTCCACCATGATTTATTTCACCATTTTACCTTTTTTCCCCTTTGTTCACTGTACCTATTTTGTTTTTATTTTATTTTAACACTCACTTGTACATATTTGTGGGGTACAGTGTGTTGCTTCAACTGCTCTGTTTTTTTTTTTTTTTTCCTTTTTTGTCTTTTTTCGTGACCGGCAACGGATCGCAACCCTCAGTGTCGCGCCCGTACCGGACCGGGACCGGCTACAGGATCGCAACCCTCGGTGTTGCTCCCGCACCTCGCTCAGCCAGTGAGCGGCCGGTCTGTATGTGGGATCCGAACCCTCGGCGGGAGCGCCGCCGCGCTCCCAAGCGGCTCACTGTAGCAGTGCGCCACCGGGCTGGCCCTCAACTGTTCTGTTTTTAATCTGTCTGTTCTACAGGTGCATTCTCCATAAGCCTATTTGGAATAAGGTGAGGCACATGCAGGTCTCTCCAGTGCATTTTTAAGCTGACCTTTCCGTTCTTGTACACACCTGCACACCTGGCAGGAGAATCATAAAAGTGCCTTGGACTTAGCTGAGAATATACAGAATCTGCCGACTTCAGCCAGGCCTGTCAATGACTCTGACTACAACTGTGTCACACACACCTATTAGTGGTGTTATCAAGCTTAATCCAGCTGGTGGCATAAATGACTTATCACAAGAGGGACATAATGTCTCTCTCCCCCTCATTTGTATCTGCTGTCTGTTGCTCGGTGTGCTCCCAGATAACTCAGGAAACATCCTCGAGAGAAACAAAGCTGTAAACAGGATCTGAGACTTATCTGGGAGTCGCATCACCAGCTCATTGTCAAAGCCAACACTCAAAGGGAAGGGATGTGATTACAGGGTAGTTCTCATAGAGTGAGCTGTAGAGAATTAAATCACAAAGTGCACACGTTTCTGAGTTTAAACAAACAAGGAGGACCACTGGCTGCATGTCAGCTCCGATCTCCAAATGCTCAGCCCTGGGTTCAGAATTCGAGCTGCAGCCCAGTCTCTGCAGAGGGCGAGGCTCCCTGAGCGACTCATGTGCCCAGCTCCTCCCGCTCAGGGTGAGTCACTATTCCTTTTTTCTCTTCCTGCTGGGCTGACCAAGCACTCTGCACATCACAGCTGCAGTCACGCTCCTGGGAGGGTCGTGAGTCAGAGAGGGAGACACGCCATGGGGCCAGAACACCACGCAAAGTGACACAGCCCTCCAATAGTCAAAAACCAGAAAGTAGCAGAACCACTCACATGTGTGTCAGGAAAAAGAAGTGGGGGTAGACTGAACTGTCTTCTCAAACGGATGCAGGCAGGAGGACAGTCATGGGTGGGCTCAGGCAGGGCAGCCTCTGCAGTGACCACAGCCAAAAATTGCAAGCCCCTCGTCCAGTCAGGCCATCTGCAGTGCTCGCAGCACTTCAGTTGTGCTGGACAGGCAAGGCTCGATTGAATTTTGCCATCAAAAAGGAGTCTGGTGCTCTCTACATGGCTCAAGGCTTGCTAATTTCGAATTCTGAACTTAAACTTAGAATCAAGTCTGAGTTAGGACATCTGTGTTTTATCAAACATGTGGACAACCTGTGCTGTGTACTTAGTGTGCAAATCAGGCACTCAGTGTAAATGGTGCTCTGCTGTGCATCAGCTACTCATAAAACTCGCCCGAACACCCACTTCCCCCACTTTTCCACTCCTCTTATCACTGCATGTCTCTGGACTTGAAAGGTATAAATTTGTGCATCTCCATGCTTGTCAGCTGCACAGATTTCTTTTGACCTTATGTTAATTTTTCCATCCAAATAGCACAAAGGTTTACAACCACAATGGTGGAAAATGCCTGTCCCTCAGAGTGTCAGAGTCACAGAGAAGATTTCTGTGTTAAATAGCGCTGGCAGGACAGACACCACAGAATAAAACCCCAGAGTAGAGTGGTGGTGGTGGTGCAGGGGAGCAGCTTGCTTTGACCTCCAGGCAAGCAGGGGAGCCCCCGTGCCCCGGCCCCTGCTGAGTGCTTTCCTGCACAGAGCTCAGCTCAGTCACTCCCCAGCTCTCGGGGAGGCGGGGTTCGCTTGATTTCTTCCTCCGTGCTTCCTTTTTCTTTCCTTCCCTCTTTCCTTTTCTTTTGTTCCTTCCTCCCTCTGTGTCACCCTTCATCCCTCTTTCCCTCCCTCCCTTCCTTCCTCCCTGCCTTTATTGCTGTCTTCTTTTCTATAGCTGAGAATGAGATGAAAATTAAATATCTTTCTAAGTTCATACGGGGAGAAGCAGAAAACTCACACTCAGACTTAGGTTCATCTCTCTCTCTCTACCGAGGACAGGGCCTAGAGATCTGCACCCACAGTGTGCCACAGGGCGCATCACTCCCCATAACATAAAGTGCCGCTGTGCTGAGCACACATTGTGATGCAGAGACCTGGCTCTATGAGGAATTTTCCTCTTTTGCAAACACTGACAGGTGTGAGGGCCTTTCTAACATGGTTGCAGTGGGACCCTGAGGATGACCTGCTCCTGCTACTTGTCACTAGGACCTGCAAGTCTTATTTGATGGAAGGACACTGATGAGCACAGGCAGATCTTTTCTCTGAAGCATAAGCAGTACCAAGGGATTCCTTCCTCTAAATTTGCAACAGCACGAAAGGCCAGCTAGTAAAATACGACAAAGCATGTTAAAGTGGTTATATGGGTGAGCGGGTAACAAATTTGAGGCGTTTTTTAGTGATTACACACACTTACCTTCTATGGTCCCAGTAGAACGGAAGGCACTGTGGTACCAAAGAACAATGTCGATCTTGAAAATGTTGTAGACACACACAGCAGACGCAGCCACAAGTGCCAAGGCGCCAAGCCCTCCGACCAGGTAAGCTCGAAAATCTGGAGCTACAAATGACAGCAAAATAATAAGAATACAGAGTCAAGTACATCCTCCACTAATACAGATCACATTCTAAATGCCAGATGGAAATATATAAATGTCAATAAGGGCATTTTTTTTTCCTTTTTGTCTTTTTTCGTGACCAACAACGGATCGCAACCCTCAGTGTCGCGCCCGTACTGGGACCGGCAATGGGATCGCAACCCTCGGTGTTGCACCCGCACCTCGCTCAGCCAGTGAGCGGCCGGTCTGTATGTGGGATCCGAACCCTCGGTGGGAGCACCGCCACTTTCCCAAGCGGCGCACTGTAGCAGTGTGCCACCGGGCCGGCCCTACAGATCACATTCTAAATGCCAGATGGAAATATATAAATGTCAATAAGGGCACTGCTTAAATATTTCTTTAAAGTTAAGTAATAGGCTTGGGAGTAGAGTAATCTGATGAGGACTGTGAATTTTAGGACAGAGATGGGCTCTTGGGAACCCAGGAGAGGAAAATTCCTCAGAGCACTGGATGCTGATAGCTGGTCCCAGCTGCATGAGGACTGCTTTCCAAACCCACATGCCCGGGTTCTGCTCCCTGCAAGCTTATGTGACACTAGACTCTCCAGGGGCCCAGCCCAAATAAGCTTACTGGGAGGTTCCCCAGGGGGTTCTATTGCATGTTGGCAATTACAATACTTTTAAGAATGCTTCCCGGTCACTCAACACTGAGCAGCAAGGCTCCCGTCACAAATAAAGGGCCATCAGGTGTCTCCCCCGGAAGCCACAAGGGCCAGAACGCCGCCCAACCCTCCCGGTGACAGAGGAGTCTGAGAGACACGGCCTCGGGCAGGGCGTGTGCACCCCGCTGTGCCCGGGGATCATGGTGCCCAGCGACGATGAGCACGAGTGGCGGGTAGAGCCCAAGGAGCAGAACCCGTTCCTCTGGCACTGCAAGTCCGCAAAACACGCTTCTACATGTCCAAAAAGAGGAACGGCCTAGCCTCCTGCCTGCCACCGCCCAGACCCTGCCGCCGACGCAGGAGCCTCCAGGGTAGAGAGAGCTGGAAAAGAGGAAGGAGGAGGGAGGAAGAGAGAAACCTCGGTCCTTGGAGCCCACCTCGCACACCGCTTCCTCCATCGGCCCTGCCTGAGCCTCCCTCCTCACCAGAGGTGGGCAAGGAGGGGAAGGACAGGGGTCCTTTCTTCTCACCCCCAGAACACTTTTATTTTTAAAATGCTCATTAAGAGCTTATCACAACCGGCCCTAAGCCACACCATGTTGTAGACATCTCGAGGCCCAAGACTTCCTATTTGTTATTGTGTGTCTCTAAATACTTCACACAACAAAGCCAACAACTGAAATCGCATTTGGTAACCCCCCCAACTAAGCCCCACTGCAGCCAGGTGAACTGCTCTCTACGTGCGTGCCTGATCGAATCCTGACCACTTTTTAGAACTTCTGGCTCCAAACCATGAGAGACCCCCCAGTCCCTTGCTCTTTCCCAGCTTGTGATTCCTTCTTGGAGCAGCAATGCCACTTCTTCCCCTGGGAGGATCCAGCTCAGGCAAGTTTTAGTGTATATTTTAGAGATCTTGGTAGTGAAAACTGTCATGATAGGAAGATCATGCCCACAACATTTATGGGATTCTAAAAGCCCCTGGCAATAGACAGGAGAGATGGTCTGAAATTTCTGGGTTGATCGTTCCTTGCATTCAGGAGTGTTGATATCTTCTGCTCTGTCAATGAGTTTAAAGATGATTAATCTTCTGCTCTGTAAATGAGTTTAAAGATGATTAAATCAAATCACGACATTGATGAATAAATTCAAAGGGAATAGGGGCTCTAAAATAGAAATAAATAGAAAATTCACTGTTGATATACATACCAGACGCCCTGGTATATATATAAAGGAGGTATTTACTGGCTGAGTCCATATGGCTACCCCCAGCCTCCAACTGAGACAGTAGGTGAGAACGAGTAATCAAAGGAAATTCACAGAGGGGTACATCTGATCTAAACAACTTTCTAGTGATCCTTTTCAGACAAACCAAATAAGATTCAAATCTGGATGTGTCTTCAACAAAAATAAGGAAGTCAAATGGAGAAGCTGGAACCATAACTCTGCCCCCAAGGAAACCAACAAAAGGCTTGAGTTTAGAGGATGATGTTCCTGAGAACTCAGGGCAAATGAAACAAAGCGCACGGGACCAAACACACTGCATGTGAGATTGGAAGTGAGTGTCGGTAGGAACAGAGATGAATTTAGTAAGCACAGCTTCTTAATCAGCCTGAAACAAAGCGAACAAAGGACCCTTCCCTCCTTGCACGTGATTGACAGATATCAGCTGGTGACAGCATAGTGCCTCAGAGCCAGGACGTGGTCTCATAATCCTTCTGAACACAGATACCTGTGTTCTGTATCTGGCATGGAAAGTCTCTACTGGCATGGAAATCTGCATTGGCCAGCTTCAGTCTAGGTTAACAAACAAAGAGCTCCAACTTCTAGGTTGAGGCAGATTTCAGTTGTAACCACTTCAGGTCTTGTGGAATCTCCAAGGCTTTACACAATCAGCTTCCCCTCCTTTCCCTGGGGTGGACCCAGAATCACTCCCTCTGGGTGGAGCCAGGTTGCATTTCTGATGGAAGCTACTGCAGAGGGAGAGGGGAGAAGAGGCCAGCAGATCCTGCCCTGCTCCCTGGGTGAAAAATGATCCTGTCCCCACCGGCCTACCACATACTGCTGCAAAGGCCTCAAAGTCACTTCCTTCACCAAAACACGGGGCCCACAGAGACCCGCCTTTGTCTCTGCTCCAATCCTCTGGTCTGCAGGGAAAATGAGAGACGACTAAGAAATGAGTGGGATCAGGTAGACCAGGGAGACCTGGAAAGCCAAGCCAGGGCTTCCAGTTCATCCCAGGGGTAAGGAGNATTGTTAAATTTTAGACCCGTCCAAACCAGACTGGTGGGAAAATCAGACAGATTCAATTTGACCTTCCTGTAAACGTTTTACTGAATTGCGTAAGGTTTGGCTTTTAGCCTCAACATGCATAAGAGATACTAGAAGAAAAGCCACATTAAACATGTTATTACATTTGCCACGGGAATGTTGAGGCAGACAAGGTTTCTTACATCATCCTGTTTTAAAAGAACTCCCTACAAAAAATCTCCCTTGAAACTAGTCCCGGAAAAGCCATGTTCTTTCATGAGCAACTGAAAGGTTTCTGTGAACAGCACACAATGGATCTTGTAATCGCCTTTCTTTTAGCTTTGAGAGCAAATTCACCTCTAAAAACCATCCAAGATTTGTCGTTAACTCCACCCTGATTTATTTCACCATTTTACCTTTTTTCCCCTTTGTTCACTGTACCTATTTTGTTTTTATTTTATTTTAACACTCACTTGTACATATTTACGGGGTACAGTATGTTGCTTCAACTGTTCTGTTTTTAATCTGTCTGTTCTACAGGTGCATTCTCCATAAGCCTATTTGGAATAAGGTGAGGCACATGCAGATCTCTCCAGTGCATTTTTAAGCTGAGCTTTCCATTCTTGTACACACCTGCACACCTGGCAGGAGAATCATAAAAGTGCTTGGATTTGACTGAGTATATACAGAATCTGCCGACTTCAGCCAGGCCTGTCAATGACTCTGACTACAACTGTGTCACACATACCTAACTATTTATTAGTGGTGTTATCAAGCTTAATCCAGCTGGTGGTGTAAATGACTTATCATAAAAGGGACATAATCGCTCCCCCTCATTTGTATCTGCTGTCTATTGCTCGGTGTGCTCCCAGATAAGTCAGGAAACATCCTCAGGGAAACAAAGCTGTAAACAGGATCCGAGACTTATCTGGGAGTCGCATCACCAGCTCATTGTCAAAGCCAACACTCAAAGGGAAGGGATGTGATTACAGGGTAATTCTCATAGAATGAGCTGTAGAGAATTAAATCACAAAGTGCACACATTTCTGAATTTAAACAAAGAGGACCACTGGCTGCCTGTCAGCTCCTATCTCCAAATGCTCAGCCCTGGGTTCAGAATTCGAGCTGCAGCCCAGTCTCAGCAGAGGGTGGGGCTCCCTGAGCGGCTCATGTGCCCAGTTCCTCCTGCTCAGGGTGAGTCACTATTCCTTTTTTCTCTTCCTGCTGGGCTGACCACGCACTCTGCACATCACGGCTGCAGTCACACTCTCAGGAGAGGTGTGAGTCAGACAGGGAGACACGCCATGGGGCCAGAACACCACGCAAAGTGACACAGCCCTCCAATAGTCAAAAAACAGAAAGCAGCAGAACCACTCACACGTGTGTCAGGAAAAAGAAGTGGGGGTAGACTGAACTGTCTTCTCAAACGGATGCAGGCAGGAGGACAGTCATGGGTGGGCTCAGACAGGGCAGCCTCTGCAGTGACCACAGCCAAAAATTGAAAGCCCCTCGTCCAGTCTGGCCATCTGCAGTGCTCGCAGCACTTCAGGTTGTGCTGGACAGGCAAGGCTCGATTGAATTATGCCATCAAAAAGGAGTCTGGTGCTCTCTACCTGGCTCAAGGCTTGCTAATTTTGAATTCTGAACTTAAACTTAGAATCAAGTCTGAGTTAGGACATCTGTGTTTTATCAAACATGTGGACAACTTGTGCTGTGTATTTAGTGTGCAAATCAGGCACTCAGTGTAAATGGTGCTCTGCTGTGCATCAGCTACTCATAAAACTCGCCCGAACACCCACTTCCCCCACTTTTCCACTCCTCTTATCACTGCATGTCTCTGGACTTGAAAGGTATAAATTTGTGCATCTCCATGCTTATCAGCTGCACAGATTTCTTTTGACCTTATATTAATTTTTCTATCCAAATAGCACAAAGATTTACAACCACAATGGTGGAAAATGCCTGTCCCTCAGAGTGTCAAAGTCACAGAGAAGATTTCTGTATTAAATAGCGCTGGCAGGACAGACACCACAGACTAAAACCCCAGAGTAGAGTGGTGGTGGTGGTGCAGGGGAGCAGCTTGCTTTGACCTCCAGGCAAGCAGCGGAGCCCCCGTGCCCCGGCCCCTGCTGAGTGCTTTCCTGCACAGAGCTCAGCTCAGTCACTCCCCAGCTCTCGGGGAGGGGGGATTCGCTTGATTTCTTCTTCCGTTCTTCCTTTTTCTTTCCTTCTCTCTTTCCTTTTCTTTTGTTCCTTCCTCCCTCTGTGTCTCCCTTCATCCCTCCTTCCCTCCCTCCCTTCCTTTCTCCCTGCCTTTATTCCTGTCTTCTTTTCTATAACTGTGAAATAGAAGAAAATTAAATATCTTTCTAAGTTCATAGAGGGAGAAGCAGAAAACTCACACTCAGACTTAGGTTCATCTCTCTCTCTACCAAGGACAGGGCCTAGAGATCTGCACCCACAGGGTGCCACAGGGCGCATCACTCCCCATAACACAAAGTGCCGCTGTGCTGAGCACACATCGTGATGCAGAGACCTGGCTCTACGAGGAATTTTCCTCTTTTGCAAACACTGATGGATGTGAGGGCCTTTCTAACATGGTTGCAGTGGGACTCTGAGGATGACCTGCTCCTGCTACTTGTCACTAGGACCTGTAAGCCTTAGTTGATGGAAGGACACTGATGAGCACAGACAGATCTTTTCTCTGAAGCATAAGCAGTTCCAGGGCATACCTTCCTCTAAATTTGCAACAACATGAAAGGCAAGCTAGTAAAATACGACAAAGCATGTTAAAGTGGTTATATGGGTGAGCGGGTAACAAATTTGAGACGTTTTTTAGTGATTACACACACTTACCTTCTATGGTCCCAGCAGAACGGAAGGCACTGCGGTACCAAAGAACAATGTCGATCTTGAAAATGTTGTAGACGCACAGAGCAGACGCAGCCACAAGTGCCAAGGCGCCAAGCCCTCCGACCAGGTAAGCTCGAAAATCTGGAGCTACAAATGACAGCAAAATAATAAGAATACAGAGTCAAGTACATCCTCCACTAATACAGATCACATTCTAAATGCCAGATGGAAATATATAAATGTCAATAAGGGCACTGCTTAAATATTTCTTTAAAGTTAAGTAATAGGCTTGGGAGTAGAGTAACCTGATCTGGACTGTGAATTTTAGGACAGAGACGGGCTCTTGGGAACCCAGGAGAGGAAAATTCCTCAGAGCGCTGGATACTGATACCTGGTCCCAGCTGCATGAGGACCGCTCTCCAAACACACATGTCCGGGTTCTGCTACCTGCAAGCCTTATGTGACAACACTAGACTGTCCAGGGACCCAGCCCAAATAAGCTTATTTGGAGGTTCCCCAGGTGGTTCTGTTGCATGTTGGCGATTACAGTACTGTTCCGACTGCTTCCCGGTCACTCAACACTGAGCAGCAAGGCTCCCATCACAAATAAAGGGCCATCAGCTGTCTCCCCTGGAAGCCACTGCTGCTGGCTCCACAAGACCGGCCAAGGGCCAGAGCGTCGCCCAACCCTCCTGGTGACAGAGGAGTCTGAGAGACACGGCCTGGCCTCTGGCAGGGCATGTGCACCCCGCTGTGCCCGGGGATCATGGTGCCCGGCGACAATGAGCACGAGTGGTGGGTAGAGCCCAAGGAGCAGAACCCGTTCCTCTGGCACTGCAAGTCCGCAAAACACGCTTCTACGTGTCCAAGAAGAGGAACGGCCCAGCCTCCTGCCTGCCACAGCCCAGACCCTGCCGCCGACGCAGGAGCCTCCAGGGCAGAGAGAGCTGGAAAAGAGGAAGGAGGAGGGAGGAAGAGAGAAACCTCGGTCCTCGGAGCCCACCTCGCACACCGCTTCCTCCATCGGCCCTGCCTGAGCCTCCCTCCTCACCAGAGGTGGGCAAGGAGGGGAAGGACAGGGGTCCTTTCTTCTCACCCCCAGAACACTTTTATTTTTAAAATGCTCATTAAGAGCTTATCACAACCGGCCCTAAGCCACACCATGTTGTAGACATCTCGAGGCCCAAGACTTCCTATTTGTTATTGTGTGTCTCTAAATACTTCACACAACAAAGCCAACAACTGAAATCGCATTTGGTATCCCCCCCAACTAAGCCCCACTGCAGCCAGGTGAACTGCTCTCTACGTGGGTGCCTGATCGAATCCTGACCACTTTTTAGAACTTCTGGCTCCTAACCATGAGAGAGACCCCCCACCCCCTTGCTCTTTCCCAGCTTGTGATTCCTTCTTGGAGCAGCAATGCCACTTCTTCCTCTGGGAGGATCCAGGTCAGGCAAGTTTTAGTGTATATTTTAGAGACCTTGGTAGTGAAAACTATCATGATAGGAAGATCATGCCCACAACATTTATGGGATTCTAAAAGCCCCTGGCAATAGACAGGAGAGATGGTCTGAAATTTCTGGGTTGATCGTTCCTTGCATTCAGGAGTGTTGATACCTTCTGCTCTGTAAATGAGTTTAAAGATGATTAAATCAAAATCAGGACATCGATGAATAAGTTCAAAGGGAATAGAGGCTTTGAAATAGAAATAAATGGAAAATTCACTGTTGATATACATACCAGATGCCCTGCTATATATATAAAGGAGGTATTTACCGGCTGAGTCCATATGGCTACCCCCAGCCTCCAACTGAGACAGTAGGTGAGAACGAGTAATCAAAAGAAATTCACAGAGGGGTACATCTGATCTAAACAACTTTCTAGTGATCCGTTTCAGACAAACCAAATAAGATTCAAATCTGGATGTGTCTTCAACAAAAATAAGGAAGTCAAATGGAGAAGCTGGAACCATAACTCTGCCCCCAAGAAAACCAACAAAAGGCTTGAGTTTAGAGGATGATGTTCCTGAGAACTCAGAGAAAATAAAACAAAGCGCACGGGACCAAACACACTGCATGTGAGATTGGAAGTGACTGTCCTTAGGAACAGAGATGAATTTAGTAAGCACAGCTTCTTAATCAGCCTGAAACAAAGCGAACAAAGGACCCTTCCCTCCTTGCATGTGATTGACAGATATTAGCTGGTGACAGCATAGTGCCTCGGAGCCAGGACGTGGTCTCAGAATCCTTCTGAACACAGATACCAGTAAGTCTCTACTGGCATGGAAATCTGCATTGGCCAGCTTCAGTCTAGGTTAACAAACAAAGAGCACCAACTTCTAGGTTGAGGCAGATTTCAGTTGTAACCACGTCAGGTCTTGTGGAATCTCCAAGGCTTTACACAATCAGCTTCCCCTCCTTTCCCTGGGGTGGACCCAGAATCACTCCCTCCGGGCTGAGCCAGGTTGCATTTCTGATGGAAGCTACTGCGGAGCGAGAGGGGAGGAGAGGCCAGCAGATCCTGCCCTGCTCCCTGGGTGAAAAATGATCCTGTCCTCACCGGCCTACCACATACTGCTGCAAAGGCCTCAAAGTCACTTCCTTCACCAAAACACGGGGCCCACAGAGACCCGCCTTTGTCTCTGCTCCGATCCTCTGGTCTGCAGGGAAAATGAGAGACGACTAAGAAATGAGTGGGATCAAGTAGACCAGGGAGACCTGGAAAGCCAAGCCAGGGCTTCCAGTTCATCCCAGGGGTAAGGAGGTGTCACTAATGTCCAGGCTGGGGTGGCAGGGAAATAGCCACCCTGGGAGAAGATGACTCTACAATGGTCACCAGAATATACTGGACCAGAAAAAATCCTCAAGGTAAAGAAACCACTAAAAAAATTAATATAATCCTCCAAATGGCACCTAATAATGGTCAGAACCAGGATAATACTAATAAAAATAAGCACTTTTTAAAGAATTCATGAAATGTCAGGCTGTGTGCTTGGTTTATAAGAGTATCTCATCAGAGTCTCTCATACACTGCTAGCCCTAGCAGTAAATATTGGTAAATCACACTGGAGAACAGTATGGCATTATTTAGAAAAGCTAATGACAGGCTCTTATCTGGAAATTCTACTCCGAATGATGTATCACAGAGGGACGCACATACTTGGATACCAGGACACACATACAGAAATTTTCCTAGCAGCATTATTTGTTAAAAGTCCCAAACTGGGAACAATGCCAATGACCACATATTTATAGTAGAATGGATACATCGTGACCTAGTCATTCAACGGAACAGGACTCAGCAATGAGATGAACAGACTACAGGTACCTGCAGCATCATCGATGTGCCAGTGAACCCCACACACCTGAGCTAAGAAGCAGACATAAAAGGAAACATCCTGTATAAGCTCTTAACATAACGCTCAAAACCAGGCCAAACTAAACTCTTGTTAGGGATATCAATGCAGATGGAAAAGCAAAGAAATGACTTTTTATTAGTTGTTATGTGATCCATATATTCTGTGTGTCCTTTACTATATGTATGTTATATTCCACATAAAAAAAAAAAGAAAATCCCAGTTGTTTCTCAGAACAACGCTTGAAGGAAGGTACTGTTATGATCCTTATTTACAGACGAGGAAACGCAGGCACAGAGAGGCTGCATTAAAAGTCCTGAGTTCACACAGCTCACGCATGGCAAAGCCAGGATCTGATCCTAAAAACCCGGACCCTAAAGGCCTGGGTTGGAACCACTCTGCCACCTCACTTGCTAGGGGGAGCGGGCAGGCGGGGACGGCTGCAGCAGGCAGGCCCTGCGTAGGAAGGCTCTGCAGACCTCGGCAACTGTAACTGGGTGAAGGCATGAGGGAAGCAGAAGAGGGCATCGGAGCGACCCCAGATTCTGAGCCTGGATAATGTGGAAGATATGGAGGTATCAGGAACAAAGGTGAGAAAAAAACAGGAAGAGAACCCAGAGGTTTGAGAGGATAATATGCTTCCAATCTTTAGCCCAACGTGCCCGCAGTCCAGTACACAGCTGGGAATGCAGGCGGCCACATGGGAAGAGAGAACAGAGCTGGAGATCTGGAATTTGCACCTGCACAGGGTTGACAGTGATACCATAAAAGGAAGGGAGATTAGTGGGAATGAGGATGCAGAAAGAAAACAGCACCGATGCTGGGACTTCAAGAATCACCCTGAGGTGCCAGAGAGAAAGATGGGACACATGCAGTTGATTGGGGGGAAAGTGATGGAAAGTGACTCTCCATGACAAGGAGAAGCCAGGGAGNGGGATATCAATGCAGATGGAAAAGCAAAGAAATGACTTTTTATTAGTTGTTATGTGATCCACATATTCTGTGTGTCCTTTACTATATGTATGTTATATTCCACAATAAAAAAAAAAAAAGAAAGAAAAAGAAAATCCCAGTTTCTCAGAACAACGCTTGAAGGAAGGTACTGTTATGATCCTCATTTACAGTCGAGGAAACGCAGGCACAGAGAGGCTGCGTAACAGTCCTGAGTTCACACAGCTCACGCATGGCAAAGCCAGGATCTGATCCTAAAAGCCCGGACCCTAAAGGCCTGGGTTGGAACCACTCTGCCACCTCACTTGCTAGGGGGAGCAGGCAGGTGGGGACGGCTGCAGCAGGCAGGCCCTGCGTAGGAAGGCTCTGCAGACCTTGGCAACTGCAACTGGGTGGAGGCACGAGGGAAGCAGAAGAGGGCATCGGAGCGACCCCAAATTCTGAGCCTGGATAATGTGGAAGATGTGGGGGTATCAGGAACAAAGGTGAGAAAAACAGGAAGAGAACCCAGAGGTTTGAGAGGATAATATGCTTCCAATCTTTAGCCCAATGTGCCCGCAGTCCAGT